AGTTACCGGGATGAGAAGCATCGGAAGGACAGGAGGTATTACAGGCACTCCAGCAGAAGTTACAGCCCTCGCCGAAGCCGCAGTCCTCGGCGGAGAAGTGCAAGCCCCAGACGCTCCCGTTACAGACGAACGCGCAGTAGGGAACGCAGGCGGGACAGAAGAGAAAGGAGCCGTAGCCGCAGAAGCGTGAGCAGGAGGCGGAGGCACCGGAGGTGATCACTGAGGGAGCAAAGGAGTACTTGGAGTGGGTAGTGGAGGCCTTGGCTCCTTTGAAAGGCTGTGGTAGGACAAAAGGGCCTCAAAATTGGACACCAGACCTCATCGGCGTTGACTGCTATAGAAAACACAATTGTTTCAACCAATCCTTAGCTTGCATCTAGTCTCTGAAGTCAAGAAAAGAGATGCCTGATTTTTTTGACCTTCCTTCCTTTGTTGTCTCTTTCTAGATTTCTACCACAGTGTAGGTATAATCACCTGTGCTTGTGCTCAAGTTCCTAAAGTGCTAAAAGCCAACCTGTTTTCTTCAGTTTCAGTTTTCTAAATGTTCATTTTAGTGTATTTAGTTTTTATCACCTAATTTGGCTTAAGAAATACTTGGGTGCCAGTTATGGGAACTTCACAGGTGACAAGTGATTACATACAGATTTGATTAAAGTGTTTCCTGGTGCATTCAATGAAATCATGTTTAACGAAGTAGAGGTTTTATTGATTGAGGTGGATAGCAGGACTTTCTTACTTTTTTCTTAAAACTGACTAAAAAGTTATGCAGGATACCTTTTGAACTGCTTTGATTCCTTCATGTCTTTATGATGCCAAGCTTTGTGGCCCAAATTATTCTGGAATGTGATGCCTTTGTATAATACTTTCCATGTAAGAGAGGCACACCTGGTGTAGGAAGTAATAAGCAGTGGTAAAATGGTTGAAAGTTGTTCTGATATTTTGTTGACATATTTGGCTTTGTTATTATTTCAGGTGGCATAGGGCTACTTGAAACATTTTTTCAGGTACATAAAGAGCTGAACATTGTCTTGAAAAAGGGGCCTTCTTGCTAAATTATTTTTACTTGTGTTGTTGAAAAGTAAGGCTGCAGTGTCTCTTGTTAAATCCATTTAAGAATACCTTTGCTTTTAAAATGCAGCTCAGGAATATTAAAAGCTATAATGTTACAGTGAATGAATTTATTTTGCATTTTTATGGTAAAATTAAAAAGAAAACTGTTTCCAGTGAACTGAAGTTGCTGTTTTCATGTGTCAGTATATTAAAATCTGCAGAAGTGTTGTGTTAAGAACCTGTTTGTTCAAAGCATCACTCAGCATATTTGAATAATGAAGTTCAGCTTCTTTTCTTGATGGTCCTGTTATGTTACAGCTATGCCAACTCTTAATCAGCAGGATGTGTGCTCTTTAACTACAGCCTTCAGATGCCATTTTCCTCACGCTGATGCGTGAAATCAAAGTGCATCCATTTCCTGGAGTGTCTGAGAAGCACATTAGTGCTGCAGCTCAGCTGGATCCTTGGCTGACTGAGTTTGTCTGCTTTACTTTCAGAGTCCATCTGGGTTTGTTTCTTACTAGACCATGCTGCTGAAATCTTTGTAGTTACTAGCTGTGGACAAAGAAAGGTAAGACACTGACAACATTAAATTTTGAGGAGCTGTTGTGTCCGTCAAAGGCAGAGAGGCATAGACAAGTCAGGTGACTGGGCAGTCTCCAGCCATATGAAGGGCAAGTGCTGGATTCTGCACCTGGGATGGGGCAACCCTGGATGTACACAGACTGGGGAACGAGACACTGGAGAGCAGCCCTGCAGAAAGGGACCTGAGGATTGTGATCCATGGCAAGTGAACATGGGTTTCAGTGTCAGCCCACTGTGTCCTTAGACACATCAGTTACAGTGTTGCCACCTGGTCAAGGGAGGGGATTGTTTCTTCTGTGTCCTCATTCCAAAATCTGGAATTCTTCCCTTGCAAAGCCAAGAGCTCACTCAGCTTCTTGCCCTGTGTCAGGCAGCCATGCCTATCAGTTTAAGCTTAGTTTAAAATCAGGCTTTATTGCTGGGGAAAGCTCAGGTTCACTCCTAACTGGTAGTCTTTCCTTCACTAGTGGAAAAATTTCCCCAGTGAGCAAGATTGGTGTAAATCCTATGAAACCATGGATTGGGCAACTTTATGCTACAGCATTGTGTTCATGCCTGCTTGAAAGCCTAGGCAGCAGTGAAAGAGACCTCTGAGCCCTATTTCATGTACTGAGTCCCAAGAAATGCCCAGTGTTTATTCCAGTGTTCTGCTGTCATTCTTGATCATTCTTAACTCAGGTGATGAGGCAGGAGGAGCATTTTCTCAGTTCTGAGAATGCACCTCATTTGTTGCACTTGGCTCCAGGAGATATTTCACATCCGTTGCCACAATGTCGCCTTTATGTCCTTGCCAGAAGGATGGGATCAAGTGGGAACCCACTTGGCTTTTGAGGATGCACAGGGTTTTGGAGTGCACTGATCATCTAGTGATAGAAGGGATGTGTGACCTCTTCCGGGTGGAGGATATGAACCCTGCTATTCACAGACTGCTTTCAGTAAGGTCTGTAGGAAGTCTGTGGGTCAGAGCTCCTGAGCTTCCTTTTCTGCAGTGCAGGAGCTGGTGCATGTGCTCTCTGCGTGTGCTGCTGCCTCATCATAACTGTTGGCAACAGCAACCAGGAGTGTTTTTTCTGCAACCCTTGTGAAGCAAAGAACGGGAGTCTTAAAGGACTAAGAAATCTTAAGTTCCTGTTGCTATGTAGAGTGTTACTGCATAGTCCTGTTTTTATACTTGAGGAATGTCTCCTCTTGTATCTGCCTGAGGGCTCAGCCTCTGCACATACAAGCCTATTGGCCTGCAATTTTCTTGTTATCTCCTGGCCTGAGCATGCACTAGGTGGCTCAGGAAGCAGCTTAGTCCAATGACAGCTTTGCTACAAGAGCAAGGCCAAAGCCTTTCAATATTATTGTGAATATTGATTATTGTGATGTTTTCTATCTGATTACTCCCTGCTGTGGTAAAGGAATTTTGATAATGTATGAATCCAATTGCCAGCAGTAAGTGATACTAGTAAAAATGATTACCAAAGCTGTAACCATATTCAAATCCTGTTTCTAATTGGCTCTACCTTTGTAGAGTATTCAGTGTGCTACAATAAAGACAGAGGCATAATTAGGTATGTGTGTAAAAAATACTTGATATGTTACCTGGAAGCATCATCTTTAAAGCTGACAGAGAAAAGGGGAATTTTTGCAGTCGCTTCCAAAGTTGTGAACACAAGATTCTGTCAGTGCCACAAGGCTATGAAGACAAACTAGTGAGAGTCAATTGGTGATCAGGACTACCAGGATTCTGCATCAATGTCAGCTTTAGGGCAGTTCTTGTGTAGGATCATATAAGAGACTATTGTCCCTTCTCATGTTTGATAGCAGAGCTAGAGGTGTTGTTAGATGCTACACAAGACAGCAATTAAACCAACTAGTTTGGCAAATACCTTAATTTATAAATATGTTGGCAAAATTGGCTACTGATGTCTTGTATTACAATACAGATCAAATTTGTGTTTATTATGTATTGCCTGTGTCTTGATCTGGTATCCTGCTTTTGAAGTTTGGTTATTCTGGATGCAACACCCATTTCAGTAAGCTTACATTGCATTCTGTTGATCTGGCCTTTCCCAAGTCTAATGAACATATTTGCAGAAGGTATATTTTACTGCTTTGCAGTAAATTTGCAGTTGTCTCTAGTGTTTGTATAAAGCAGCAATCTAGTTGCTGTTGATTCTTCAGAGCTGGGTGTTCAGAATGAGTCAAGTGTCCTATATTAATCCAATACTGAGCTCTTGAGGCTTGTTTGAAGCGATGTGCACCACCATCCTTTCTTCCTTAGTGGCAGCACAGAAAATGAATTTGGTCTCACGTGCCACAGCTCCTCAATCTCCTTCTGCCTGATAAGAAAGATAATTCATAGGTTAGCTCAGGCTAATGCTTTGCCATAGCTTATGTTATGAAATTTCTGAAGGGCTAAGGCTGGCTGGAATTTCTCTCTAATTGATAACTTACCTAGCTGCATGTGCACTGTGGCACCTGCCAGGTGAGTTTTTCCTGCTGTGCATGGGATGTTCAGGTGTGCTGTCCATGATACTGGATTACTTGTAGGACAGTGAGAAAGGATGTCATTCCCAGGCACTGCCAGCAAAGTGTCTGAACAAGAATTGATCACCTTGAGAATAGATTTCCCCTGCAATTCTGCATATGATCCTGGATATGTGTTTGTCAATGCTCTGAGGAATTGCCTAGTGGTGTCTGTTGATTTCTACCTTCCCTGTAAAAAGGAAGGCCTGGAAAAATATTTTCTGTTCATTTTGCATGGCTTGCTGCTGTGATTTATAGCAACTGGTAAATCGGCTCCATGCAGCTGTTCATGCATCCTGGTGGGATTGTGTAGAGAATTGTGAGGGAAAGTGAGAAAACTCATGGATTGAGATAAACACAATATAAAGGTAAAGCCAAAGCTGCATGCACAAACAAGGCAAAATGAGGAACTTATTCACCACCTCCCCTGGGCAGGAAGGTGTTCCTGCCATCTCTAGCAAAGCCAAGCCTCTAAAACAGCCTGTTAAGGCAGTTGTATATCCACAGTTTTCCTTTGTGATGCTTGACAGAACACAAGTAATTTCTGAAATCAGAGCCTGCCTCAGCTGCTGTCCATCTTGGTGTTCTGTTTATATCTTCCTCTCTCCTTCTCTCTCTCTCTAAAATTTCTGCATCTACCACTGTCACCCTGAAAATTAGGCCTTCTGCTAACGTTTTCATAGTTTTAGTTACTTTCCCATGAAAGTTCTATAAACATAAGTTTTTATCACATTCCTTCTAGGAAATATCTTTTGATGGATGTTTTGCATGACCAGTGTGCTTGGGAAGGTGGCAACATATATCCAATCCCTGGTCATTGTCAAAAATCTATTAATACTGGAGTCAGAGAATAAAAGTGCCTTTTTCTGTTCTGACACTGGGAGGTGTTCGTGTAAATCATTTTGTGTCCTCTAGCGACATACCATTTCTAGCTGGTGTAGCTGGCTAGCCTCAGGAAGAGTATGACTCTTACCTGTTGAGACTTTCCTCTGTTAAAAATCTCAATGACTATTTAGTTGAATTATTTGTTGAGAGATTATTTGCAATCCACAAGTTGAACAGAGAACAACTCCAGATTTCCTGAGATGCACTTTAAAAGATGTTCTCAGAGTTTTTACAGTAAGGGAATCTAAAGAGAAGGCAGGGTTTGCTTAGAAAATGAGCTGGATATACAGGTTTTCCTGCCCACTCCAAATGTTTGCCAGTAGTGTATGTGATGAAAACAGGAAAAAAATAAAATTGGTTTATGTCAAAAGTGATGGAAATAATATTACTAGGAAAATGCATCTATTATAAAATACAAGAATAATTAGAAACTACAAAGAAGAAAAGGAGTATTTTAAACTTGATATTCTATTTCAAAGAAAAAGTATGATACTGAGTATCCTGGTTTCTTAGGATTGTTAAAAAAAAGGCCACAAACTATGACCTTAGTGCCCTTCCAGGGCATCTGTTATAACCTGGGTATACTAGAGACTTAGTCATTATAGCAAAGCACAGTTGTTTCCCTACTGGCATTACTGAAATTTAACATAGTCACATCCCTGGGATTTGTAGTTTTTGCTTATAAGGAAGGTTTCATGTGAGAAGATAGTGTTATCTGCCGTTTCTCACCGGCAGACACATTCATTTCACTAAATCTCCTCTGTTCATAGATAATTTCTTACTTTCAAATGTTATGCAAAAACGACATCATTGGTTTTTGTGTAGCATTTGACTGTATTGAGTTATTCAGGCAAAGAAAAATGCATCACTGAAATAGAACTGTGGGGGTAAAATAAGGTCTTTAGTCTACATGTTGTCTAAGCCCTATGAGTGAAACCTTGATAGGGTTGTCAGAGAAAGCAAGCCTTTGCAATTTCATCTCATGAATGCATTTTTAGCTTAAGAGGGGCTTAAACCTTAAGCCTCACTAACAATTTACTTGGAAACATCTACACTGCTTTTTTCAGTCTGGTGTGAGTTATCTGCAAGTCTCCTCCCCTACATCTCACTACTAGTAGTAATCCCATTAGATGATTATAATTTGTATCCTCAACAGACAGATTTAGTCATAATTGAAAAAGAACTTCAAGTGTGTTTAATCAACTGTGTGGTCATTTTATTAGTGGACACTCATTTACCATTTTACTTTGCCTTAAGTGAAGTGCATTTATGGCCTGGGGCTGAATAGCTATTATGTTCCCAGGAGTGGGAAATCCTTAAGCTTGCATGAAATTGCACCAGTTTCTCAGCAGCAGGTAGAATTTGCCTTTAGAAGAGAAATATTTTTATTTTCATACAACTTTCTAATCTTTTTGGCTAACAATAGTTATCTTTGGCTGGTTATTATGTACAATTTAGTTCTCTGTTTTCATTGGAGGAGAGGAAATGGTAGAAATAGAGGGAAATAAGTTGACTTGGTTACCCATGCAGATGGAGACTTAGTGAGTCTTTCTTAAACTTTCTTCTTCTACAAAGCTGTCTTTGGAATGAAACCAAAGACCTGGAAAAGCTGTAGTGTGTTCACCAAAAGCAGATCTAGATTTGTCCAAATAAGTGAACTCTGCTGACAGCTTATGGCATATGCAGACAGAAGTTCATGAATAGTAACTGAGCTCATGGGCTCTCCTTGAGCTCAGGATAGCAGGGGAGTATTTCTGTTATGAATATAGCTGAGTATTTGAAACCTTCAGTGTCTTGTTAAATGCAAGGTGCACAGATTCACAGTCACTCTGTCAGAGGTTTGCTGGTGCTGGGGTGTCCAGCCTGCACATACTAAATACACAAAATATTAGTATGTAATCTGTACTGAACACTGAATCTGGTGCACTAACAAGACAATAGCACTTTGTCTATAGGCTGTGTTTGCCAGGTGGAGCAGTTGTACATGTTTCTGCAACTTTGTGTTTGCTGTAATTATTGTAATGTTCACACCTAGTACTCTTATAACACAGGGAACCATGGTGTTAGAATCTGAGAATTTCTGTGTTTGCACACAAAGGGGGAAAAGGCTGAAAACTGTTATACCTGCTTAACTAACTTTAATAGCTAACTCTCAAAGAAAGTTGCTATTTCACTACTGGCTAAAAGAAGTAGATCATCTTCTGGCTACAATGTAGGGATCTGAATGGAAAATACAGATTCAGAGAAGGGTTATGCAGTAGAATCTGAGGCATGGAGAAAGCTGCCACTGAAAAAATACTGGTTTGTAACATTTTGCCTTCAGTGTATTACCTAAATAAGGCTTAATTTAACATTGTTTCCTGAAGGTTCACTAATGTGTGATACAAAGTGTGACTCTTTTCCTTGATGGGAAGGATCTTTCCTCACCTGAGTGTTGCCACATCTACCCCAAGGTGAGGTGGGAAAGATGTCAGATGGAGACAGAGAAATGAACAGTGGGTCAGTAAGATTTCAGGAAAGTAATCCAGGGGTTTAATTTTCTGATGAAAACCTATGAGGTATGTCCTGTGTGAAGTTGAAATCCATGACCCATCTTGCACTTTGCAGTCATTTCATTGTTTTTTCCCAAGGGCCTTCTGCTGCCCGTGGTTAGTTTTGCAGAGAAGGGGAGGAAGACTGTAGTAGCCAGCTGGAAAATGTAAAATGTATTGTCATCCCTCAGCACCCCACTCTGTCAAACAATGGCAAAGCAAAAGTACAACAGCCCTGCTGAGGTGCTGCTATCAAACAGGTATTCCTTTCTAAGCTGGTGTCAAGGTGGGTGGGGGGACCTGCAAAATACAGAAAAGTAACAAATGTAGTTTTAATTCCTGGTAAACTTTACCTGAGTGATCATCATCAGAGCAAAGTAGTCACAGTGAGAAAACAGAAACAGATTCTTACAGCTTCTCTTTGTACTTGCTGCTTCTGCACTTGGGGATGGGGGGGTGTACGCTACTGCCAGCCCAGGGTCCCCTGGGCTGTGCCCACAGCAAGTTTCAAGTTCCAAGTAAGATTCTGCTTTAGTTTATGAATTCTGGTGCATTGCAGAGTTCAGGTTCTTGGTATTCTTCTGCACTGATTCCTGTTTTGCTTGTTCCAAGCTTTCAAGTGCTTCTGAGGTGCCAGCCTATTGCTGACTGATGAACTGACAATACAAGATTTAATCCACACTGCTTCTTTAGCTTTATACTTGATGATGGAAGATACAAAGAAACAGCTGAACCAGGTAGAAAGACCCATCAAAGCCAAATAACTCAGCTAAAATGTTTTGTAACCAGTGTGTTTCTCGGAAGGAATAGGATTATGTGGATCAGCTGGTGTGTTTTGTGTCTGGTGAAAAGAAGCTTATTTAAATTAAGAGAGGCAGGAAATCTGTCTCTCAGTCCAGAAGGAAGATGGGTTCCACAGAAGACCTTGACTATCCTCAAATCATCGTGCAATACAGCAATGGATTTTTAATCTCAAAGGTAAGAAATATAACTCTTAGAGAGAGTACGCAGACAGAAATATTTAGGGATTTCTCTTTAGGTCCTGAATGCAAGTCTTTGGAAGAAGTGAAAGCAGTAGTACAATGACTGCTTTTCCAAACATATTTTTAAGGCACAAAGGCAAAACTAGCAATTCCACTCTTCTTATTGTTTGCTGATGTTATTTGCCTAAGCACATGGACATAAAATTATAATATCCAGTGCAGTGGATGATTTTTTCTTTATTTACTACTTAACTTTCCTGTTGTCCCTTGCTGTACCTCTGGCCAACATGGTAACAGAAGGAATGCTCTTTGGTTTGTGCAAATACCACTGCACCTTAAGCTCCTGAAAGGCAGAGCTGACAATAAAGGGAGGAAAAATACATAATGAAAAGTCACTTTGTGAGAAAAATAAGTGCCCAATATGTCCCAAATTAACACTGTTAGTACTATGTTTTTGAGAAATAATTTCAACTTTGGTTAAGCCATGTTCTTATTCAAGGAAAAAGGAGCTTCATTGTACAGGAATCATTGTAGCTCAAATCATTGTAGATACAGGCAGTCATTTAAATTGATGTCTTTGTTACTGTTTCAGGAGTGTTTATGTGACCAGGGTAAAAGGCTAATACTTTTATGGTTAACTGTATAGTTAAAGAAAATGGGTGGTTTTTGTTCTGTTTTTTTATGTATGGTTAGCTATGTCTGTCTGAAGGTTGACAGATGTTGCTGGAGAAGTTACACAATTCTGTGGAAAGACTGGGCAATGTTGTTGGGTTGAATGAAGCAGTTCTTCTGGATGAGAGGACACTGCCTGCTTCTGGAAGATCACTGTAATCTTTCACATCAGTCTCTGAAAACAAGATCCATAGAATGGGATGTTCCCCCTATTAGAAGCCAAGAGAGAGTCTCCATCCCACCCCAAAGCATGTGTTAGATCCTTAGATAAAGAACAGATACATAAACAGAGAACAAGCACCATCACCCAGTCTTGCCTTTGTGCTCTTTCCAGGAGATTGTATTTCTAAACTAAGGCTTTGCCCACACAGCTTACATCACTTTCAGAACCATCAGAGGTTAAAATTATTGTTATAACTTATTCCAATTCCTCTGCCTTTATTACCTCCTTCTTGTATCATTGCTCAGATGAACTACAATTTAATAATTGGACTTTTTTATATGAAATACAAATTTATCTGAAATAAATTAAATTTCTATTTTCCCTAATTAAGCAGCCTGTGAAGTGCAGTAGGCTTTGTGCTTTCACCTAATCCCTCAGTTCCATCTTTCCCTATCCCCAGGTTATGTTCACTGCCTGTGAGCTGGGGGTGTTTGATCTTCTTCTGGATTCAGGAAAGCCTCTGTCTTCAGATGCCATTGCTGCACATCTGGGTGCCAGCACCATGGGGATGGAAAGACTGCTGGATGCTTGTGTGGGATTGAAGCTCTTGGCAGTAGAGATGACACAAGAAGGAGGTAATAAAGGCAGAGGAATTGGAATAAGTTATAACAATAATTTTAACCTCTGATGGTTCTGAAAGTGATGTAAGCTGTGTGGGCAAAGGTGATATCAAATGTTACATCAGTTAATGTAGCTGGAAGGAGAGAATCACTCTTAGGATTCACTCTTCAGCTGAAAGAGGCATATGTCAGCATGATCACTGGTATAAAGTGAAACATGGGTGCAGGGCTCTATATCTCTAAATATCTTTGTGCGAGAGCCTCATGTGACCTTGGAGAAGATATTTAGGATCTCTGTGGAGCTTGTCACAAGAAATCTGGGGTTTGGGCAGGATTTTAAACTTAAAAAATAATGCCAGGGTGGATGGAAACAGCATAATTTAAAACAGGTTCTGTTTCTCTTAAGGTTTTTACCATTATGTGAACTATTTTGTTAGGTTGTTGATCAGAACTGAGAGGTGATGTAAGTTTTTCCTTAGAAAATGTCAGAAACATAGAATACACTTGGACAGAAAGGATTTCTGGCCATCAGACAGCTGTCAGGACTAGCTAGAGTCTCACAAGTTGTCCCCTCTGCTCTGCCTTGTGCTGGCATGCTTTGTTTTAGGGATTATAGTTGTTGCCCAATGAGTTGGGGAGAGCAGGATCTCTCTTTTATATTCATTTGATATTCCAGTTTGGTGGGTGAGTGATGCCACTGCAGATGCATTGGAGAGAGTAGGGGAGATTTCTGGGTGGCCTTTAAGCATTCTTCTGCCTGTAGAAGGTCCTGCCCTAGTGAACTGATTGAGGGTAGGTGTTGTTTGCCTGATGTTTTGGGGACTTTCCCCTCACCTGCTGACCTTGTTGATCAGGAAAAAAGACTTGTCTGCAAAGACTACTCACTTAAATAGAGACTGAAAGCTTCTTCTGAGAGCAGAAGCCGCTATGTAAATGGTAACTCCTCTAAGGCATTTTTTTTTGCTCTCCTTGAAAGAAATACTTGGTGCCGGAGTTAAGCGTAGGGAGACAGTGTTTACCTAGATGGAATGGGTAACACAGATTTCAGCAGCCCTCACCCACTGCTCATTGCAGTGGAAGGATTTGGTTGTAGAAGTAATGTGGTTTTGTCTTTGGCTGTATAGACATCTTCTGGTGATAAACACCAAGCTGTACAATAGACTTGGTGCAAGGTGTTATATCATATATGTTATGATATAAATAAAAGGTATTTATTTTACCTTTAGCCCTCTACAGAAACACAGAAATTTCCAACATCTACCTTACAAAATCAAGTACAAAGTCTCAGTATCATATTATGATGTATTATTCCAACACAGTCTACTTGTGCTGGCAGTACCTGTCTGATGCTGTGAGGTAAGAATGTGTGTTGTGTACTGTCTGGTGCTTTGCAGCATCTGTGTCGCTGCTCTGAGTGGTGTGTTTCTGGGGAGGAGCACAATAAAGATGCTGGCTGGTTCTCAGAAATTAAAAGCAACAGATAATTCAGCTGTTAACCTGGCCAATATTTGTGCTTTTTCCCTCGCCTTGCTTTCCATTTGTGTATGTTCTTATTTTCCTTTTCCCTGCCATTCTAGAGATGATCTAGAAATCAGATTTCTTTATGTTTCTCCTTCAGTAAAACACTTTATCATTACAGTGGCTCTTACTGGACATGACATCAGCAAAGTAAATAATGAGTAATGGATAATAAGGATCCTTCTGTTGCAAAGGTTTATAGGGGCAGTTTAATATGGTTCTGGAGTCTCACTTCTTCCAGTCCATGCAACTGATGAGCAAACATGGTGTAGATGGTGCTGATGATAGCATCAGTCTTGTACCTTTACCTCAGGTGTGTTCCCATAAATCACAGAATCCTAAAATGGTTTGGGTTGGAAGAGGCTCTAAATATCATCTAGTTCCAGCCTTCCTACCATGGATGCCACTCACTTGATCAAGTTGTTCAAATTGCTGTCCCACCCTGACTTTGAAAAGAATTAGTTATTCTTGTGAGAGGTTAATATATCAGCACTCTCATAGGCTTTCTCAATTGCTATTTTAGAGAAGGAAGAAACCAATATGAAAGAGCTTTTGGCATTTCATCTAAAGACTCTTTTGGAGCAATGTACAGGTAATCATTAGAATATTTATAGGAATTTTATTCTTCTTGTGGATAAGACTAATATTTTTAATTATGGCTCAGAACAATTAAATATAACAATGTGAGAATTCCTCTCATCAGCATCATACAATGTTTTTATTTCTCAACAATATCAATTGCTGAGGCATTGTCTGATATTTTGAAGTGTATAATTCACTAATCTGAAAAACATCACAGATCTCTGACAGACGAAATGATAGTTGAAGGAAAAACAATCCTTTGGAAATTCTGAGAATGAGTAACATAATAAACTGTTGGATTTTTCTAGTCTTAATTCCCTATTTAAATGCATGAATTCATAGCTGTACCCTCCTGATAAAGTAATATTCAAGGTAGGTTTATATGCAAAGAGGACGTACTTTGTGTCAATAAAACCAGAGATTTTTGTTTAAGCTAAAACATGTAACAGCAGTTATATGATAGGAATCCCCAAGGATGTGGTAAGGAGCCTTCTCTCTGTGCTGTCTCTGTTTGCATTGCTAGATCAGATGAAGAAATGCTAAAATTCATGGCTGGCCAGAACTCAGTATGGAGCATATGTGGCAGAGATGTTCTTGCTGCATTCGACCTTTCCCCTTTCACACAGATCTATGACCTGGGAGGTGAGTGTCAGAACTGTCTTTTATAAGCTCTCTAGAGGAAAACAACATCTATGTTATATGATGGGCAAAACAATGGAAAGCAGGACACAGCAATATAAGGAGCATTTTGCTGATTTGGTTGGGTTAAAAACAAAAAATTGAGACTGATGAGAGCATTAGGAAGCTGAATGCTTTTCTCTGCAGTCTGACTTACCTAAGTAAGTAGCCACTCATCCCCTTGTGGATGTGGCAGCTTTAGCATTTTTTCATGCCTTACTTGATGCATTCTTTCAGTGCTAGACTATTTCCTTCCTCCCCTTCAGACACTGTGGTTGAGGTACTGCCTACAGCCTCTTATCCTGCAGCACCCTGCTGTCCCAACACTGCTGAGTGCTGCCAGGATTCATGGGACAAGGCAGGCTCTCCCCTGGCCTCCCTCACTTCTTCCCCAGAGCCTGGTTTAGTGACTCTGTTTTTCATTTTTCACCTTCCAGCACCTGCAGCTGGTCTGGCTAGGAGGGAGTGTAAGAGTGGTAAGGGCTGGGGCTAACCCCACATGCCTGGGTGCTTCACACCCCAGATCTTCCTGCACAACACATGGAGACTGTGGCTTTTCCTACCCCTTCTCTTGCCTCTCAGCAACACATGGAGTGCAAATGTACATTGCCAGCTTTCATGAGGCTGAATGCACCGTTTTCTGTGTGGTTTCATGGGGGTGTCGCTGGTTGGATTTGTGTCAGTACTGACCTTCTACTGCTGTCCCCACAGGAGGTGGAGGAGCTTTGGCCCAAGAGTGTGTTTCTTTGTATCCAAACTCTACTGTCACAATTTATGACCTGCCCAAAGTTGTTCGAGTGGCCAAAGAACAATTTGTTTCCCCCGAGGAGCGTCAGATCACTTTCCATGAAGGTAGGTGTGGACAGGGGTGTGGTGGTGTCACAGCTGTTGTTCCAGAGCCCTGGCTCTGCTCAGAGGTGTCATTCTGGAGGCTCAGGTCTCCAGCTGCCCCTTATGGGGGCAGTGTCTCATGTTGCAGCCTCCCTAGCCCGGGTCTGCAGCTGTCCCAGTTGTCCATCAGCAGCTGTCAGAGACACAACTCAGTTATTCAGCAACGTTCATTCCTGAAGAGAACTATTTCATTTCTTAAGAACAAGGGTACATTAGTAAAAAAAAAAAAAAAAAAAAAAGCAGCTTGCAATTTTGAAATCTGCCATGCTTTGTTATGAATCTTCCTAACACTCCCCTTTTCTCCTGTGCAAACCTCCTGGCAGATGTGAGGGATGCCAGGCCTGCTCTGAACAAGGGTTTTCCCTTCTCTGGTCACAACCAATTGACCTTCAAGTCCTTAGATATTTTAGACCATGAAAGTGGGTGAGCTAGCTCCTATTTCTCTTGCCCAGGCCACTGATCCTCCATAGTCTTTGTACCATCAATGAGGAAAATGGCTATAGGGAAATCTCATTTTTTAATGTTTAAAAAAGTCTTCAAAGTGCTGGAAGTGCTTAATATTGCTCAAAGCTCAGAGAGAGAAAAGAAGCCTTGAGGAGAGCAGGAAGTGTATAAAAACAAAGATGCAACAAAATGGGAGAAGAAATGTCAAAGTAAAATGCTGAGAAAAAAATCTGAATGCAATACACCAGGTGGTAAACAAAAGGAATAACAAAGCTAGTGCTAGGAGGTGAGAGATGTGTATTTTTACCTGTGGAATTATGAAGTAACTTGTGATTACTGAAGATATTTTTAAACTTTCTTAGAGAAGGCAATATTCTTTCCTCTTTCTCATGACAGAAACCATGTGAAACTATCTCCTTAGTGCTTTATGAATTTGAATTTCTGTCATTGGGGGAAACCTAAACTCAAATGTTTTCCTGTGCATCAATCTGTTTCAGGATGATTATTGCTTTTAAATATTTCACATCTTCTTGAGACTGATCAAGAGCAAAATTCCCTATGCAGTGCAACAGAGAACTTTTACCTAATAACTCCATTGCTGCCTGATACCTCTGAAACACATTGCAAGGCTGGAATTGAACAGAACTGAAAATATTTGCTTAACTCGGCACTCAGTGTTGTGGGAATTTGTATAACACATGTATTTTTTGCTTTACAGGAGACTTCTTTAATGATTCAATACCTGAAGCTGAACTGTATATTTTATCCAAGATACTGCATGATTGGGATGATGACAAATGCAAACAACTGCTGGCAAAAGTCTACAAAGCTTGCAAACCTGGTAGGTGTGAACTCTTGGAGAGCAGAGAGACCCTTACCTGTTAGCAATGTGAAGCACACCAGTCTCAGTGCTCAGTTTGGGTGTCAGAGTTTCAGTGCAGGAGTTTCTTGGTTTAGTCCATTGCTTTCCCTAAGCCAGCCATGTGCAGTTGAGACAAACAGCACCTGGTCTAATTTCTCTTTGTTTGGTTTCCAGTTTTTGTCTCCTCTGCAGGAACTCCTCTTTCAAGGCATAAAGTGTAAGGATTGAGAATTTTGAGTATTGTTTAGATGGGTATATACATTATAGTAAAATTCCCATTAAACCTCACAATGAAGCCTCAGAGTTTCAAAAGCACTGCCTACAGAGCAAAATCAGTAAGGTCTTGTCAATTTCGTCTGGGGAAGATGGAAAATTTCCATCCCAGCAACAGCACCCCCTTCAGCTCTGGGACATCAGCACCAACATAGTCAAGCAAAGACATGCTCTGATGCTTTGGCTCTTTCATTGTCTTCTGTGATGCTGAAATGTGGCTTAATGTAGATACTGCTTCTTCCTGAAAGTAAGATTAGGATCTGTTTAGTAACAGCTTAAAAATAGCTCAACTTCTCATTGCTCAAGGTGTGTTTTCTTTCTCTTCTCTCCACCAGGTGGTGGAGTGCTGCTGGTTGAATCTCTTCTGAATGAGGATAAAAGTGGGCCTGTAGAAACCCAGCTGTATTCTCTGAATATGTTGGTCCAGACAGAAGGGAAAGAGCGAACAGCAGCAGAGTACAGCAAGCTCCTGGAGGCAGCTGGCTTTGGAGTGATCCAGGTCAAGAGAACTGGAAAACTCTATGATGCTGTTTTAGGAAGGAAATTGTAGTATGTGTTTTATGTATGTAACAAGACAGAAAAAGCTGAGAAATGTGCTATTCTCTTCTTAGGATGCAGTGATCAACTTAGCTTTTAGTTAAGGCTGCCAACTTTTTTGTAAGCAGATACATTGTCAGAAGACTCACTAATAACAGATCTTCAACATGCATGTATTGCAAATCTGACAGTCTGGCTTGGCTTGCCTTTGGATCTGGGAGGAAAAGAAAGAAATCAGCACCTGTTCCACAAAAAAAATCCACAAAAGAAATGTGTAGTATGTCTGCTTCAGCTTGTATCAGTCTCTCTGATTTTAACACCGTATCTGACAAAAGCAGAGCTGAATTTGTACTTGAGTTCCTGCAAAATAAAGCTAATCCCTGTACTGAGCTTTCTTGCCTGCATTTTTATTCCTGAGATATTGCTATAATAAAATCAGACCAAATTATGTCTCCCTGTGGTCTTTTCAGAATACCACGAGAAACCTTTTTTGAGCTTTGGGGAGTTTTGCATGAAAAAAATGATATAAATTTTTTATTTCCTGTAGACTTTGATTTAAATTATGAAGAAGTGTGGTACCTTATTGACTGGTTGAAGCCCAGGGATTCTTATTACAAAACAGGTGGGAAGATGATGCAGCTAAGTAATTTTGTTATGTACTTGGGTAGTCCTTACTGCATGCCTCCTGCCATTTTTTAAAATCATTTGATCAAACGTGGTCTGCCATTATCCATGCAGTTTTTGGAAGCAGAATTACACATTACTGAAGTGACAAGCATTTGGAGAAGGCACTAGGAAGTCACTCTGCTATTGTTTCTGGAAGAGTAGTTGCATTAGAGAAGCTTGAGATAGTTTACTCAGTACCCTTCTACAGGAGCCTCCCACTCATGATTGTAGGAGATGGACAGGGACAAAGTAGCCTCAGTACACACAGGAAACACAAGGTTTTAATGTCATTGCAATTATAGAGACATGGTGGGACAGCTTGCATGATTGGAATGTTGCGTTCTGGGGAGTTGTCTATATTTTTTTTCTTATAAAAAGCAAACACTGTAAAGAGAACCTGAAACAAGCATTTTGCTACATGCAGGCAAACTAAAATCCTGTTTGTTCTGTAGTTTCCATGTACCAACAGATATTTCTGATGACAACTTGCTATATATAAGGTCTCTTGTCTGTGTTTTTTGTTTGTCCTTGGATATGTTAACTTTAAAAAAGTTTGTGCAGGAACAATGGAAATAAGGTGGAGGTTTCCAAGTTACTCATGTTTTGGGTAACAAAAGCTCTTCCCAAGTTTGTGCCCTTTCACGGTGCTGCAGTGGGAGGTTTTCTGTTTGAAGCAGATGGCTCTGCCAATAGAGTTCTTTCCCCCTTCCATGGAGTTTTTCACCATATAGACTGAGATAAATTTTCTAGCTCCAATATGGCTTAGGAGTAATGAATGAAACCTGGCCATAGCTGGAGGGAACCAGCCCAGAGCAGAAGACTGCCCGGGGCAGGAAACACAGCCTCTGAGCTGAGACGGGCCGTGTTGGGCTGGGCTGAGTGAAGTCAACTGTTCCCAGGCTGCTCTGTCTGGGAGGACAGAAACTTCCAGCAGGGCCTTGGCCTGATGGCCTGGGAGTTACATGAAACAGCAGAGGGCAGGAAAAGCCGGGAAATTTGCCATCTTAATGTGCTAACTGGAAGCTGATGGCTGCTGCTTTTCAGAACTTGCTGATAGTCATGGGTCTTTGAAGAAGCACAGAACTAGGAAAATGCTGCCTCAAATATAACAGAAGAAACAGTAACTAAGCAAGAAATAAAACAAAACAGGGAATGCACTGAATAAGGAACCCCTGCTTAGAAAGACAACAGCCACATTGCAGCAGGATCAGGCACAGGCTGGAGGCTGAATTCTGCCTAGAAACACATTGCCAAAGGAGACCTCAAATGGAGGGCAGAAGGGTGGGAAATTGTCCCATGGGATCTGTGGCTGTAGAACCACTGTGGGACAGTAGGACCCACACTCCAGGCTCCCTACTGGCTCCAGTGTTCAGCTCTCCCTTCTTCCACTGAGCTTCTCTAGAGAACCCTTGAGGCACTGGGGACCTGTCCACAGGTTGTGCTGAACTGTGTGTGCTTCTATAAGTGTGTGGTTTTCCCCCCAAAAATTCTCCACACTTCTCATTTCTAATGCTTTATCCCTTCAAAAATACATTATTGCAGACTAGCTTAGTGTAGGGCAATATTTTGAATGAAGAAATATTTTGAGTGAAGCTCTCTCAGGGTTGTGGAGAATGCTCTACACTGCAGACAAGAGTGCTTTCTGGAACTCACTAAGGAAGGCCTGCAACAAGTGGTTTGGTAAAGCAACTAAAGATTAAGGCTTTAATACGAAAGAAGAGGGATATACATAGCAAGTAAATCCAGATGCCAGACACCTATGTCCGTGCTCCATCCAGCTTTGTATGAAGCCATGTTGGATTTTCCCACGTTACTTTGTACAGACACTGTCGGTGGAAGGAAGCAGCTCATTTTGGGTCATTTGGGTTATTATTTTCGTACAAGAAAGAGGCCATTCTCACAAGAACACATTGCTGGATCATTAAAGGCAGGGCTGTGTGGGCAGTGGCACCGAGCAGGAGCTGCCTGAGCCCCTCCTGCTGCTGAGGGATGTTTGTGGCACAGCACAGGCCTGAGACCACCCTGGCAGCTGCCATGGGGGACACTCGTTCCTGGATGTGCAAAAAGCTCCTGGTCTGGATCAATGCATTCCACCCCTTGGTCCACATGCATCTAACCTTTCCCAAATATTTTATGGGTTACAGATTACCTTGATAACACATGGGTTTCTCAGGCCCTAGGACCAGGCGTGGCCTGTCCAAGACACTGACACCCTGAGCACAATGTCCTCTGCCAGTAGAGCAGCCTTTTCAGAACTGGGTATTCTCACACCATTCAGCTTCTGAAAGGGTGCAGTGTACATGTCCAGGCTTGCTAAAAGCAATTTCATTGTTACAGGGTGAAACAGATCCTTTAAAATAGGAAATAGCCTTTATGTTACGTATTAGTGCAATCAGGCTGTCAGGGCCTGACTTAAAGCACGTAAAACTTACTGTTTTTTTCCAACATCTCAGTATGAGACTTGAGAATGCCTTAAGACTCATGCTGTCAGAAGGCTACATATTAAGCCTTTGTTCTGTGCTGTATCTCGTACCTTTAAGACAGGTAATGCTTTTTTGAAATGGAATACAGTCTTCAGCCCATAAACCTTCTGTGTGATAAATGAAGCAGTGCCTGTGATTGGTTTCTTCTTTCAGCATTTATAGTACAAAAGGAAGACTGCAGTTCCAGGCTGTGATAGGAATGCTAAGGATGCCATAGCCTGACAAAAGTGTTCACCTCTCAGTGCATACTAAAAACATGCAAAAATTAAAAATGCTGCCTTGTCAAATGCAAGCTGCACAGATTCTGGGTTATGTTGTCCGGAATGAGGAGCTGTACATTTTTTTAGAGTTTGGAATTTGCTCTGACTTTTGTATGTTTAGACCTACTATTTTTGTAACACAGTAGACCCTATAGTATTAGAAACTTGGAAACAGATACTGTTTCTGAGTTGTATATAGTGGGACATTTTGAATGTTAAGGACATTAAGAAATCCATAATGTGAGGGTACCTGAGTTTTGAGACAGATCATTAAGGGCTCTTCAGCCTCACAGACAAAGGCAAGAGACAAAAGCAGTAATCAACCTCATCTAGGTATAAAGGCTAGCAAAGAGACAATGAGAAGCACAGTGACAAATATCAGAACTCCCTGTCCCCTTAGTGGAGGACCACTGGAGGATGCCCACAAAAGCCAGAAAGAAGTTCAGTTAAATATTTTTATCTGAGAAGAAAAGCAGAAACAAAATGATCAAAGGACTTACCAGAGTGAAAACATCATGAGGAGTTAAAGTGGGCTTGTGGTAATTACTGTGGGAGTTGTGGGGAACTTGAGAGTAGTTAAAGAAAGGGCCAAAGGAAAAAAATGGAGGAATCAAAGTGGGCAGGGGGGGAACCAGCCTAGTGAAATAGAGAAAAGGTGAGGGAAAATATACTGATCATGTTTTGCAAGCTGCTCTTCTGCACACCTATCTGGCCAAGCTGCAAGCCAGATCAGTAGAGGTTTTCTTCATATTACACTCTATCCCTTGCTATCTTCTGTTTCTTTTTCTGAAGCCTTCCCACATCAAAAGCCAGTTCAGTGGAGAAGCTGTGCTTTTGAACAAGCCTAAAGTAAGATTCTGCTTTGGTTTATGAACTCTGGCTCATCACACTGAGTTCAGGTTCTTGGAATTCTTCTGCACTGATTCCTGTTTTGTTTGTTCCTTGCTTTCAAGTGCTTCTGAGGTGCCAGCCTATTGCTGACTGATGAACTGACAGTACAAGCTTTAATCCACACTGCTTCTTTAGCTTTATACTTGATGATGGAAGAAACAGCTGAACCTGATAGAAGAACACATCAAAGCCAAATAACTCAGCTAAAATGTTTTGTAACCAGTGTGTTTCTTGGAAGGAATAGGATTATGTGGATCAGCTGGTGTGTTTTGTGTCTGGTGAAAAGAAGCTTATTTAAATTAAGAGAGGCAGAAAATCTCTGTCTCAGTCCAGAAAGATGAATTCGACAGAAGACCTTGACTATTCTCAAATCATTGTGCAATATATCTGTGGATTTTTAGTCCCCAAGGTAAGAAATACAACTCAGTCTTCTATAAACATCTAAGACTGAAATGCTCAGGGACATTCTTCTCTGAGAATGTAACAGTTCATAATAAAGCATCATAATGTAAACTGACTTTGGACTTGAATAAGCATGACAGAAGTCTAAAGGAAAAAAAACAAACCCAACAAACAACTAAGGCAGATCTGGCCTTCAGGATGGACGTAACATTTGTTGAGACCCCACTGACCTTTGGAGGCTTGGTTGAATAGACCTTGTCTCTGCATGAAGGTTTAAAAATGTAGTATTTTTTTGTCTGACTGCCTTAAATGTGGAAGGTCTCTTCTGTGGTGGGATTATTTCCCACTTATAATTTTTGAAGTCTGAGAAACAGAGGGCTGACTTCAATTGCCTTTTCCCCTGTCTTGTTATACCATGTGAAGAATAAGATTTTTCAAATATTTTCTTCCCCTTCCTAATTTGCCATGCAGATAACATTTATATGTTATGTCCCTTCAGATGGAAGGGACTGTGAATACAGAGTGTCTTATAATGACTCTCTCCCAGACAGCATATCATTAAGACAGACAGGGAGCAGTTTCAATTTCCTTAATGTTTGCTGATGCTGTTTTCCTGTGTGTATGTGCATTTGCATAAAATTCCTCTATTCAGTTTCAGTTTGAATTTTCCTCATTAACGACCTATAGTGATTTCAAAATTCTCATTCTCGTCATGCTTTTGAGAAGTAATCTCAGCCATGTTCTAA